AAGGCAGCTTTTCTATTACACTTCAGTTTTCTCTCAACTTCAAAATTTCCATTTTGTAAGGGTATTTCCAATATCCAGAACACATTAGATTCTGTTACTTAATCTCTTACACTACTGGTGAAAAAAAACCCCAGTATGTATTCATATATCATCTACAGGATGATGTAACATCGTCCCCTGCAGATCATTAGACCTCAGAGAGAAATGTTTGTCTCAGACTGAGAGTGCATGATGGAATCCCTCTCTACTTACTCAGCTATTAAAACAATGATAGGTTTCATTATAGAAGACAAGTAGATAATAAACAATGATATGAGAGTTTCCACCAACAGCTACCTCAAATACCTAAACCGCTGTACACCCATTCAGCCTGAGGTCCCAGTGTGCCTATATGCCACAGTAAAGGTTGTTCCATAAGTCATTGGGACACTGGGCGCATCTACACATGCTGATTTAAGGCACATTAACCATTTTTAAGGTGCACTAAGAGCACAGGTCTACACATGCACACCCTTAACACGCCTTAAAAATGGCGATTTCAAGCTATTTGTGCCTAAATGTAATACCTGCAAAAGCAGGTATCAAATTTAGGCGCGAATAGCTAAAACACCTTAACACACGTGTAGACACACTAAGATGAATTAACGCTGTGTATGTTGACTGACTTGGGCCTAACTTTAGTCTCAGTCCCAAGTTAGTCTGCACAACCGCGTTAATGTGCCTTAGCACGTGCACATGTAGACACGCCTAAATTGCCTTAATGCACATTAGCCAAATGCGCGTTAAGTTTAGGTGCGCATAAAAGCATGCATAGACACACCCAATCACTATCATCATCCCTCCTAGATATACCTGCATCCCTAACTGCAAAGTATAATGTCTGCTAATGACACAGACTACCTCCTGGAACAAGACTTCCTACCAACACCAAGATCCATCAAGGCCACATTCCTGCACACAGCAGAACCCCTCCTACATAGCAGAGGGTACAGCTGCTAATCAAAAAGCTCTGTTACTGGTACGACTCAAAGCCCTCCTGGATTTCTTTATCCATCTTAGATAAGCAGAAAGACTCTGTTCTTCTTTGTAGATCACATCTCATTTGACATTTCCTTCCTGCTATAGCTACCACAGGCCTCAGTTCACTTTGTGCTGAAATGACCATTCAGTGGAAAAGAGGAGGAAGAAGTGGAGAGGTGCTATGTCAGTGACAGAGGAGAATCCAGCTGCAGTGTCCCACAGAGGTAACTGGACACGAAAGATGAGTCACAGCAGAGTCTAGGGGGACCACCCAACAGCATACAGCTGCTTATTTTGGGGTAGGAATAGTTGAACCAGTACAGGATTCCCTGACAGGAGACATCTGCCAGTAAGTGCTAGCTGCTGTGCATGAGTGACCCAGAGCACTGTTCCAGGCAGGTGCCCATAAATCTAACTAACACCCATTTCCTATACCTCACACAAATCTCTCTTCCATTAGGCTACTGGGCACACTCCTGTCATAAGCTGCGACTGCTGCCTTGCTGACCTGCTCTAACCTGAGGGCCATCTGAGCTGGAAAGCACTCTTGGCAGAGGGAACCAAATTCTGTTCCCATAGACAGAAGGAAAGCTCAGCTTTGTGTGCAGACAGAAAGGGAAATTACACACCCGGAAGGCCCAGCTATTTACCAAAGAAAACACTAGGTCAACTGGGACAGCACCTCTCAGAGTCAGGATAGGCTGGCTTGGGAGGCGGGCATCTGATAGTAGAGGAGTTTCTATTGGAGGCTGCTGTTTTGTTCTCCAGGATTTTAGTTTTCATTTAACCAAAGAATAAGTCTCCAGCCTTCATAAATGTGAATATCATCTTAAAAATGCTGCAGTGATGCCTGCCTGCATCTCCAGCCAGCCTACAATAATAGCTCTGAGACAAGCCCTGCACCTACTCATACTAGAAGAGTGTTAACTCTGAGCTCAGTGGTGATACCTGACATATCAACTGGAGCTGATATTTCACTGCTGATCAGAGAATGTGAAAAAAAGAAGATGGGTGGCTTGATTATGATGATATTCACTGAAAGGGTCAGCAACCCCCAGTGTGCGTGCCAGAGCATGGCAAGTGAAGACATTTTGCTTGGCATGCCAGCCCTCAGGGCAGATGGTAGGGGAGCTGCAAGGAGCCCGATCCTTGTTGTGACAGCGCAGCCCTGGCTCCTTCCCTGCTATCCATCCCAAGGCACACATGCATGTGCCACTGGCAACAAGCTGGGCATGCGGTCCATGGACCCTGGTACATCTGCTTGTAGCCTCCCCACCATCTACGGCAAGTGGCCTGGGCTCCAAGGAGGGCAGCAGGGGCCTGTCCAGAGGCCAGGCTGGCTAGGGCAGACAGCTGGGAGGCTGCAAGGAGCTATACTGGGGTCCACAGATGGCAGAGAAGGGGCCAAGGCTGCGCTGCCACAAGAAGGATCAGACTCCTCATAGCTCCCCAGCCATTCACCCCCGGCACACCAACATCTTACAGATAGACACTGCAATTTTTTTGGCACTCTGCCCAAAAATGTTACTGACCATTGGCCTACTGTGTCATAGATCTTTTTTTGCATTTCAGGTGGGAAAAGCCCTCCTCACCCCTCTCCCATTTGACCCCTGGAATTCCTATGTGCCCTTCTTACTGTTAAAAACCAGTCTGCATGTGTATAATGTGGTGCAACCAAGGATCCCAACCACACAGCCCAGTGCTCTGAGCCCCACCAACTTCTGCACTTGCAGGAGGTAGATAAGGATTAAGGCCATTCCAGCACCCAGTGAGTTTGAGTGGCTTGCTCAGGGTCACCCACTAGTCAGCAACAGAGTTGTCCCTAAAATTCAGCTGTCATTTCTTGCAGGCTTGTGCTTTTAGCCACATGCAAATCATTCAGCCCTTCTTCCAGTGCTGTCAACAGCTGCATTAGCTTCCCTAGCACCCTGTCACCTTTCTGACATTGCTATGAATCTACTGACTCAGAGCACATGAGTGGGAGTCAGGACTCAGCTGCACTATTTCTGGCTCTGCTACGGACACGTAGATGTGATGGTGGGCAACCTCCTTTCTCTCTTTGTACCTCAGTTTCCCTTCATGTCAAAAAGGAATTTCCCCTTTCTGCAAAGCTGTTTGAACACTGAAGATGGAAAGTGCATTAGGTGCCACTTGTCTCCCAGACTCCTGAGCACCCTATCTATTCACAGGCATTTGTAAAGGCATTTTTAAACCTTTTTTTTTAATGCTTTCCTCTCCCTACTGCTGCTCTTTATGGCAAAGCTGATGAGGTGCTGGCTGTGGGCAGCAATACAAGGGGTCTGTCAAAGGGAGGAGTAGCACTGCAAGGGTGATGTCATCGTTGTTTATATAGGCCACTGGCCTTCCTTGTTCAATGCATAAGCAGCCCCTGCTGGATGATGAGCCATAAAACAGGATTTACTGCAAGGCTGAAAGCATTCCCTTGGTTTTCAGCAATTATGGGTTAGCAAATGTGGAAATAGCAAAGATAGACATAACTCAGAATAAAGAAGTCAGGAAGAACAAGGACTTTCCAAATCCTTTACAGAAGGCACTTTCAAAAGCACTGAGAGCATGTAATGTCAGTGGAAGAACCAGAAGTGCTTCGGACTTTCCATGCAACCATGACATGTTGACTATAGCTCATGCTCCTGGCTGTCATGGGCCAGAGCCGTGAGATAGATTTGCAGTGACACTCAAATCCAGAAAAAGAAAAGTGCTCTGCATTTCATTACAACTTGAAAAAGAACCAAAAAAAACCTGTGACATTTTTAACTCCCCCTTAAAACGTTCCTGTTTATGGGGCCTCAACCTCCTCAAATGGCGTGTTGGATTTCAAAATGCATCTTAGACAAAGGCTGTGTTTTCCCCACCGACTCATGTGAACATGCACATGGTTCCTCACTTGGAAATAAAACTAGCAACAGTTCAAAAACACCTGGGCCACAAAACTATTTGTATTATTTATTTCTATTGCAGTATTGTCTAGAAGCTGCAACTGAGCTTGAGGCTGCCATTGGGTGAGGTGCTACACAAATACACAGGAGAGACACTTCCTGCCCCAACCAGCTTACAGTCTAGGCAGACACACAAAGGATTGGTGGGGGGAGGAACAGGGAGGAGAAGCAACTTGCCTGAAGTCACATAACAAGTCAGTGGCTGAGCAAGGAATAAAACACAGGTCTCCCTATGCAGGCTAGCGCCCCTTCCACTAAATCAGAAATTAATCAAATTCAAATCTGAATATTTCTTGCACTGACTTTCACCAGGACTATTTATTATTCTCTTGCGTAATCTCTTGCCCTATGAGTAGCAAGCCTTAAAATCAAGAATACAATGGAGAGTTGTGAAGAAAATGTCAGGATTTAGTGATTAGGTGGGCCCATGAACAAGGAACATGCTCTGCCATGCCCTTAGCTTGTGTATGACAGAAATGGAACTCTGCTGAAGTCCTAATGACTGCAAATGTGTGAAGCAAACAGTCACTTACCATCCACGTGCACTTTTAGATCTATAATTCTAAAGATTTTATATAGTCTTTTATGATAGGCTCCTTTGTTCCTATTTCATTGTTTAAAACTCCTACGATCTGAAGGCAAGAATAGGTAAATACCCATAAAAATCAAATTGAAATAGACTGGCAAAATTAATTCATCATTAGGCAAAGGAATCCAGAGGTCTAAATCAAAAGCGAGAGCAGTGGGAAAAGAGCTACCCATGGATTACATGTCGGGGAAAGGAAGGGTATATAGACACCCATGCTCCTGATTCACGGGTTCCACTTAGCAGCAGCTTATTAATATGCTCTGGCTGCAGCCACTTAGGTTTCCTATGCAGACTACTGGAAAACTAATTAAAAAGAGAAATTAAATGAATCTGTTCTGTGCTCTCTGTACTTTATGCCCGCAGTATATAGTATTGGTCAGTGTGTTTGGCTCCCTCTGGAGTGGGGATTAATTCCCAAAGTACAAAATACTCACCTCTGCAAGGTAGAGGATGCAGAATTTCAGATCTTCCAGAGCACCTGAAAGGGAGAAAACAAAGCCAAAATCAGGCTTTGGCTGGGAGTCACCAAACAAAGACCTGTGGCACTGATAAAGCAATAAGCAATAAGACTGCATTTAAGAAAAACTAAGGATGCAATTCTGCTGTAGCAGGCTGTCTGCTGGGAGCAATACCTGCTGTTTGGCTTCCAGGAGGACATCCCTGTGGCTAATGCAGCAGGCAAACTGGGGTTAGACTCATTTATGTGCTGCATAGCAATGGGTTTTCCTCCAGGCACATTTCCTAGAGAAAGGCCTTGTTTCTGTTATGTTTGTAGTTTGGAGGCTGGTCAGTGAAGGGCATTAGTAAGGACCAGCCTGATGCAGAAGTAAAGCAAGAGGCTATTTAAGGCCCTACTTGCACTTAACCATGGTGCCAGGGCCTGGGCCGCCTCCCTTAAAAGCATGGAACCAGGGAAATCTGGAATTCCTCACTGCTTTCCCAAATGCTGGCTTACACATCATGAATGATAAAGGTGGAGTTAGTGCACATTTCTCCTCCATGCCACCACATATCCAGCCTCTGTGCTGATCATCGAGCACCTCTCTCCCAAGAGCTGTGGGGAAAATAATCTCCTGAAACTCATGAAGGACAGTGGAAACTGCCAGACTGATCAGACCCAACATCTATCCAAGTCCATAATTCTGTCCCTGCATAGGATAATAGCTGGTTAGCAGTTGTTTCAGAGAGAAGTATGAGAACCTGCAATAGGCACTGATGCTATGAATTGCCCTAGAAATAGTTCCTCCTTTTATCTGCCACCCAAAGGGGCAGGGCTTTTCTACATATTAGAGCAGAATAAGCTTGGGTGTGACTTTAGCATACAAGCTACCCCAGACTTCCCACATAGACTTCCTTAACAGTACATCTGCAGTGACATTCTGCAGAATACAGAAGTGCCATCAGTGATGGTTTAAACAGGGTTAGGTTTTAAACAGGCTGGAGATTCACAGCAGAATACATTAGTGTGAGTGGAGCTCCAGGATGCTACAATTAGTCTATTGTTAGTACCCGACCTGGAAGTAAGCTCAGGTGGTTCTGGGTTACAATGCAGCTGAGAGCAGTACCTGATCAGTCTTCTCTGCACCCTGCCTGCATTACTCTCTTATCACATCCTCTCTCTAATGAATGCTGCCTCAATCCTTTCAGTCTCTAGTCATACCCCTGGTCATTCCCATCCCCTGTCTCTGAGCCACATGTTGAGATGGAGACAGCTCTCACACAGCATCCCTCATCAGTATAGCTCATAACAATTGCTAAGGACAGTTTCCTTGACTAGACATTGCTGAAACAAAGGAAGTGCAGGGGAGAATGGAGCACAGGAGACAAGATGCAAGGGTAGAAACAAAAAGCCAAAGGATCCCAAGTGCTAACGCGTGTCAGTAGCTAAGCAAGGAAAGCTTGCTCCCTGACACACTACATGAGCTAGCACAGGGAATGGGCCCCACTCTGGGCAAACAGAGAGCTGCAGGGTTTATATTTTGAATTAAAAGAACTAATAGATCCCCTTGCGATGGTAACAGAGCACAGCGCAGCCCCTCCCTCTGAACCTCTTATACTGGGGGTCAGTGAGGCAATACTTAGCGAACAACACCATACCGCTCCCCCAGTATTCCCAGAGCTACCACTAGCACAGGTGCCTCCACGGAGCAGGCAGCTTTGCTTGGCTCTTTGGAAAAAGAAGATTCAAAAAGATGATGAGAGAGCAATGATCCAGACTTTGTGAAACCACAGGTTTCCCTGAATCAAACAACCCTTTCTTTGCAAGGTGTCTGAGGAAGTCTGTTCTGTCCCTGGCACTCTGCTCAGGCTGATTCTCACAGCAACTAGGGCCAGCTGAACTAACAGAACTGGCTCCATCTTCCACTTGCCCTTGCTGAAAGAATTTGCTGAGAGTGATGCTGCTCCTGGCATCCACAAGGAGGAATGTGGATTCCTACTCCCCTTACTTGTCTTCTGTTCGAGGGGGAAGGAAAACAGAGGACTCTGCCAAGCCCTAGGGACAGCAACCACCTGAATACAGTCTTACTGGTGGAGACATAATCAACACAAGATGTGGACACCTGAACTTCACAGTAGTGGATTAGATGTAGCAAGAGGCAACCCTGCCCTAGCTATGCCTGCAGTGGGACACCCCCAGACTTACCACAACCCCCAAGTGCAAGAACCTGTTGGGCCGCTGACTTCACAAGCCTTTTCAAAGTGCTCTCTTGCCTGTGGAGCAGTTTGGCTCTGCAGTCTGTGTTCAGGAGCAACTCTGGCTGATCACATCAGAATGCGGTCTGCCTCATTGCAACTGTGTGTGCCGCACTACGGATGGAGACAGGCTCTGTACAGGGACTGGAAAAATAACACTCCCCAAAGAACCTCGCAGTAACGATCCAGTACAGTCAGCAACCTCTGGAGTTAACAACTGATGCTATGATCCCACAGGGAGACCCTGCCGCCACCTGTGCTTTTTCCATGTGCCACAAAGCAAGTGCACAAACAGCGTCACATTCTAAGTTTCTTTGCTATCACTCATCGGCAAGCACTCTGTATCTGTTCCAGATACACAGACTGGAGCAAAATGAGGGCCCCATAGGGCCTTGGTTTTCAAGAACTTTACAGAAGGGCATGACATCCCCATTGCAAGGACAGCTGTGCCTGAGGCCCAGGCTGTGCTGGTGAGGCCCTGATACTCTGGGAATGCTGTTCAAGAAGTGTCAGATAACGAGCACGCGTCCACTGCATATCTCCAGGCATCATGAGCTCTGCTGGGCTGTGTCCCGTGCTATGGGATGACAGTCTGGAAAGCGCTCCCATTTGGAGACAAGGTTCTTTGGGTGAATTTGATATCTTTTATTAGACCAACCCAAACGGTTGGAGAATAGTTATAAAGCAAGCTTTCGGGTTCAAAAACCCTTCGTCAGGCTCAGGAAGCTGCAGCAGTTGGTGTGTGCTCTTCCTGGATGGGATGAAAAGTAAAGAAGCCAGGGGCTGGGCTGGGCTGGGCTGGGGCATCAGTTGCCAGGCAGATTGTAATGTATCAAAAATCCAATGTCTATGTTTAGTCCCTGATCTCTAGTATCCAGCAGGTTGATGAAATGGAGATCATAGGCTCGTCTCTGGGATGTGTTGTGTAAATTTCCCTTGAGGATCAGGACTGAGAGATTGGAGAGAGAGTGGCCGTCCCGTGAGAAATGTGCCCCCACCAGTAATTGGGTGTTTCTGTCTTTGATGGATTTCCGGTGTGCGTTCTTTCTGGTGCGCAGTTGTTGTCTGGTCTCTCCTACATATCTTCCATCAGGGCATTTGGTGCATTGGATGAGGTATATCACATTCCTGGAGGTGCAGCTGTAAGATCCTGGGATGCTGATGGCTCTGTTGTGGGGTGTAGTAATAGTGGGGGTGATGGAGATGTGGGGGCAGGTTTTGCATTTCTTGTCCTAGCACGGTCTGGATCCTTTTGGTGTGATCTGGGCTTGAGGAAGTTTGCTTCTGGTGATGAGGTTAGCGAGGTTTGGTGCTTGTCTGAAGGCTAGGATGGGTGGCTCTGGGAAGATCTTTTTAAGAATAGGGTCTTTTTCTAATATGCGTTGCAATTTTTTGAGGATTTTCCGTACAGGTTCAAGGGATGGGTGATAGGTCATAACCAGCGGTGTGCGATTTGTGGGTGTTTTTCTTCTGTACTGCAGCAGTTCTTCACGTGGTATCCAGATGGCTCCCATTTGGAAGCATTCCCATTACTGAGCGATGGGGCTGGCAAGTCTGGGCCACAGTAAGTGCTATTTCTGACTGACCCTTGAGGGGGCACCTGAAGGGACCCCCAGCTCCCTCCACAGCTACTGCAGATTCCAAACTGGCAAAACTATGGGCACCTCTGGATTTACCCCAGACATCTCACTTTAACCCCAGAACAGTCCTGACACAGACTCTGCCCAGGGCCTCACAACAAGTTATCACCTAAAGTCATTGGGACTAGCCAAAAGTCCTTGCTTTACACAGCCAACACCACCATCCTGGGTGCTCCTGCAGATCCATCCAGCTAGTGCTTTACACACAGAGGGTTTGGGAGAATAATAACCTGGTTCATTTACTTTATGCCAAAGTTTCGAGTTCTCTCTCTTTCACTTATGCTTAGTATGTTCTCCTCAATACAAAAAAGCCTGCCCTTTCCACTTCGCCCTATCAAACACAGATCTTGCTCACTTCTGCTAGGAAGAGTAGAGACAATGATAAATAATTGCAGATCTCTGAGTGAATAAGAACTATTTAACACAACAGGTAATCATGAAAAATAACAGCCCTCCAGACTCCTTCATAGGTAGTTTGTAGTGTTAGGTCAATATACCCAGCCACGCTTCTCCAAGGACTCATATCTGGCTCCCCAAATGGTGTGGCCAAGCTCAGAAACAAGTGTCATCCTTCCAGGTGTGCCACACCCCTTAAGGGCACAAGACTGGCATGTGGGAGCCTTGGAAAGGGCTCTGGATCTTTGCATCTATTTTATTTAGGCTTCCAAAGCAACAATTGTTTCATGCAACAGAACAAAAACACATGGTCATTGGAACTGATTTGCCTTCCAAGTTGCAAATGCCCTTCCATAGTTATAGATACAAACATGAACTCCAACTCTAATGATCACTTCTACAAGCCTCCAGATCACCAGGTCACCAGCCACCTACTGGAGTGGGATGCAGAGCCCCTGAGGTAGGGCTGGCTCACCAGTGCTGGGATCTAAGGTCTGTTTTCTTAAGTGATCAAAAATCCACTTCAGACATTTTATATCTACTTCAGGGGGTAAGAGGAGAGGTCAATGATCATGAGCTGTGATGCGAACCACTAGGCAAAGCTTACAAGGCCTCTGAATCACTTGCTTACTGCTCCCCCCAACACAGATTTTTCCATGACAGCAGGCTACATGGGATTGACACAGAGCTGCTAGCACCACGGAAAACCCCAGAGTCCCAGTCCTGGCTGGAGTTACTGATCATTCACTGTGCAGGCACAAAATGAACAGGGAAAGCAGAAAGCCTTCTTCAGCACTCAGGCAGCACAAACGCCATAGGCCCCCAGTGCGACAACTCCTGGTTGGAAAGGATGAGCAAAGCCATGTTGTGTGTGCTCCTCAAGCAGCACTGTATTAACCTTGCATGGAAACTTGCTGTGTGTGTACAAGTATGTGTGTCTGGATGTGTATATGCAGGCACATTATCAGCACCAAACATTCAAAACCAATGTCAGACCACTCCAAATCACAAGACAGGCTTAAAAATCATGAATGTGTGGAGCAAGATAATGAGTATTTTATTTGTCTTCTTTCACAAGCCATTAGACGTAAAGCAAATGGAAACTAAGTTTCTTCCATAATCACAAGACTCAAGGTGCTGGGGCTTTACAAAAAGCCCCAAATATTACAAACCTCAGAATAAAATCCTGAGAACTGAACTACATGTGTTTGTGGGCATGTACTTGTGCATAGTAGGAGGCTATGGACAGAAGAATTGCCTTTTCAGACAGACTGCCAGAGACTGTATGAGAGGGACAGTGCCAGGAGGGACAGACCCAAATGTAGATTCTGAAGCACAAACACAGAGGCTGTTACAAGATCTACCAGAATGTATTTTAAGTCCCAAAGGAACCTACCCAGCTACTTTTGCAGTGTTGGGCTAGGGCATGAGAACCTGAAACAAACTAGGGACCAACCCTAAGTGGACAGTCATTCCCTACCTGAGAGAGAACCCAGCCCCAGCCCTCTGAAGATGACAGCCAGCTAGCTAGCACAGTCTATTCTATACACATGCCATGCTCACCATCATACCCATTTCTGTTGTGGCAGACAAACAGTCTTTGACCAAACTGTGCTCAGAGATGTGTTAAAAGGAAATTTGCAGCCAAACAGCAGAGCAAAACAAAACCCACCAGGATCCAAGATGTTTAAGATTCTTCTCAAAAGTATTAAACTTCAGGTTGGGCTTTAGCATTTCAAATTAACCTGAGAGTGTTTCTCCAAAGCACCACTGGGCTGACCTGCTCATGTGCTCCTCATTGTACTGACAGGGAACAAATGAGTTTTGCAAAGTACACATCCATTCAGTGCAGAATCTCTCCCTCCCTAAGGAAGCTATATTTCCACAGAGCCACTGATGGGGAGGTGGGGGGAGCTATTCATCACATGCTAATGAAGACCTGTATGTAAGCAATATCTTCCCAACACACCAGCACCTCTGGTCTCCTTTCCAGTAAAAGGTAAACAGAAGACCCGAGAATAGATCCAAGTAAAGAACTACTGAACCATGTGGGCAGCAGAGGGTTGGGAGCAGGCTACAATGATCTGAGCAGTTTTACCAGCACCATCTACTAGATCACTGCAGTCCAGGGGTGACGTACTACATGAGAGGTTACTTCAAGTGTAGCACCTCTCCAAGCTCCTGCAGGTAGGTAGCAAAGCAGCATAAAGTAGATGACTGTTTTCACTCTGGGATCCCAAATGGGTGGGAGACAGGACCATGAGTGGGAAGATCTCACAGCAGGGCCCTTGATTTTTTGCTGCTAAGCACTAAACTAATGCACATGCACGCCAGGAGGGGTGCGGTTCCTCAGCAAGGCAGTAACTTGAGATGGAAATTCCCACAGTATCTACTAAGGAAACTAGCCCGGCCCCTTGGAAACATTGGCTGGTGCAATGCTCATCAGCCATGTTGGGCTTCTAAAGCAGGAAGACAGAGCATTGTAAAGCAGATTATATTGATTTGCCTTTGCACAGTGCAGTAAGCGACAGAAACAGGAAACATCACAATGGTCTTCAGCGTACCGGAGATGTCTCAATTGTTATACTCAGCAATACGCCTGTTCCTATCAATGTGCCATTCAGTGAATTAGGAGACCAACAAAAAGTCTCTGCCAAAAGGGAATGATGGGGGTGGAGAGGAGTTTATATGGGTCGGCCTATACACCTTTGTGACAGACCAGTTTAATCCATACTCAGGGCTGGTGTCTAGAAGCATATTACACTAAGCAGTGAAATCCCAGCCAAGGTTATTCAAAAAGAAACATCCCTCCTTTTCACGGGTGGTCACTGTCCTTCCTCGTTAGACTATCTTATGTAGGACTGAGCCAAGTAGTTATAGTTTCAAGGAAAAAGGTAATTGCTTGAGGAATCAGACTGACATGCAGGAGGGTAGGAAGCACACAGCAATACAGCAGGACCTGCAAACAGGCTTCACTGAGAGTCAACGCCGGTGCCATGGGGACAGGCACAAGCAAAGCCAACTTCTTCAAGCTCCTAAACAAGACCAGAAGGAAGAAGCAGACTTTGACGGCAGTTCAGATTGAAAAGGCCATCTGACATCTCAGTCAGGATCTGCCAAGCTGTGCAATCAAAATATGTGCCTTTCCAGAACTTACCACTCCAGGGCCGGAGGCCAACAGAAAAGTACTTCACAAAGGACATTTCCACATCAAGTCATTAGCAATAAACAGCACAGGGCAAAGAGAGCCAAAAAATCCTCACAAAGTACTCAGTCTCATTTCTAAATGAGTTTGTTCTGCCTGGATCACCCCCATTGCATCCATCCTCCCCAGCAGGGGAGTTTACTTGCAGTAATGCTCCGGGAACCAAGAAATGCTATGTCCCGCGTACTAAAGGAAGAGAAACAGACCAGGTGACCTTTGCATCCAATTGAAACGGCTCAAACATTCAATACTAAGAGCCCACAGTGAACTGGAACAAGCTGACAGGCAAGACTAATTATCAGAGATTTCCAATCAGTTGGAGAAAATCACAATCTATCCACATGAGATTCACAAATGGGAAGTGAGAATTCCCCTGAGTAATTAATTAGTCACAGCTGGGTCCTAGAATAAGCACTGGCAACAGTCAACACAGGCTCCTAGTGCCAGGTGGGCACTGGGACGGAAAACAGCAGAACCACAGCAAATGGAGGACAATGGCCTAGGAGGGATGGGGAAATCAGCCCATCCCAACCAGTTCGGAAGCACCTCACAAATACAGGTACACACATCAGCCCTGCTGCACTCCTCAGCCATGACAAAAAAACAGGGCACAGCTATAGTTAGGTCTCTCTCCACCAAGATTTCTTCAGCTGCCCAAATTGCACAGGAGGGTAAGTGCTAGATTACCACCCCCACCCACCCACCCCACCATGCCAATGTTTGGGTTAACAGCAGGCTGCAATGCCATAATGCACATCTCACCAACTTTAATTGTAAGTACCAAGGAATACCAGCTCGGTTCTTCAGTGCCTCTACTGTACGGTCTTCAGCTACCTCCTTTAAAGCACGCTTAGGCCCCAGCAGCTGCTCCTGTAAGCTGCAGGCTGAGAACTGCTTCTTCAGACTTTTCAAAGGGTATTTTTACCTGTAACCAAATAGACTAGCTGCACCAGGAAGGAAGGAGCGAGGTGGGATTGGGATCAAGGTCCAGAGCTGACTCTACATAGGAAATGAAGAGTGGAGCAATTATTTTGTTCCTCTTTTGTATCTGAGCAGCCAAGGTCATGCTCCATGTTCTCTGGCATTAACTAATTTCAGCCCCTGCCCCCAAGACCTCTCTGCTGCCGAAATTCCCTCTCCCTAACAAACAGCAGGGTGCAACAGCCAGGCAAAGCAGCCTGCATGAGAAAAATGCTTACAGCCTGGCCCAGCCGGCCTCTCTCTTTGCCTTTTCCCCTCAGACCTCAGCATTTTGCAACGTGGATGTCTGAAGTTCCCCAGCTAGCTTGGGAGGGAAGCAGTGGGTGGTTGACAGGGGAAGTGGGGCAAGTAAAGGTCAGTAGGGCTTAGTCAGACTCCTGCGGAGGAAGCTGCTGTGCTCTCTTCAAGCACCAGGGGGGAAACCTCAAGACTCCACTTCCCTTCTCAGCCTTAGCTAACTACCGCTGTACACAATGCAGCACCGGGAGGGCGGGTGCGGCACGGCACAGCAGCATCCTTGGAAGGGATGGCCCCTCATCCCAGAAGGGCCTTGTTCCATTTGTGGTAACCGCAAGAGGTGTGACAGGCTATGGAAATCAGAGCTATTCCTAGCACTCTGCACTTCAAATATTAAACCATGCAAGTCTATATTCAGGGAATAATGGGCAGGGCTGGACTGGCCTCCACAAGGGAAGGGTGAGCCCATGTCCTGGACTCCTTCCCTGGCATGAAGGTTCAGC